CGGGCCCCCCTGCCCCCCTCCTACTCCTCGACTTCGGCAGCGCCCCCCCCTCTTTGGTCCGCGCGGCTCTGGAACTTTCTGGAGCTAGTGTGTCTTCCTGGGCGCATTGGGATCTCGATCGCGGCGCGCATCTTCTTGCTGTCGCCAGAACTCCGGCCCCGGGGCCCCTGACGCCTGCCTGCCCGGTTGCCTCCGGCGCCACGCACAGGCGCCCTGCGATCGGCGGCGCGCGGGTTCTGGCAACGGGGCCCCAAATGCGGGACACGCGCCCCAGATTTGGGAATTCATCCTGGATCAGAGGGGGGTGCGTGCGGATGACGTGGGGGTGGCGGCTAGGGGACTCGTTGCCCCGTCACGATTCTCGGAAGTCTTCTTTATTGCGCATGTCTTCGGTGGCATCAATATTCAGTCCCCCGCGCGTTGCCGCATCTGCGCTTCAGCAGCCGATTTGGAGAGGCCCAAGAGTCGTGTTCAGATGATTCCGAGAACCATGGTGCCAAGTGGGTTGGGATTACACTCGCCGAGGCAGCGGCGCATCTTTGGGCTTCGATCGGCCCAGCAGCAAGTCGCGAACCGATGTGGCGTTGCACGCGCTGCGAGCGGCCGCGGGTGATCCGTTACATTTTCGCTACCAGGGCCGCCCCCTCGGTCGCCACCACGCTGTACATGTTGAGGGCCCTGTCTAATTTCAGCTATCTTGCCCTGTCGGGAGGGGCGACGGAGCGGCAGGCTTCTCAGGCGGATCAGGCTTGCAAAAACAGCTGCCTTGGTGAAACTGATTCCCACAGGCACTACATGTCTCGCCCCGAGCGGTGCAGGCTGTCTGGGCCGCGCCCATTCCGACCGAGTTTTTTACATCAAAGATAAGAACGTGTTCGCGCGATGTCTCCAGATGGCCGTCCGCTCGCGTGTCAGAGGCTTGCGATTAGCCTCTATCTGTGGAGTTCCATCCGGGAATTGACGGATGTGGGACAACAGTTGGTTCATCCGAATGCGATGGCTGCCAGGGCGCGGCTTGTTCAGCAGGCGGATAGTGTGCCCTGACGTCATACGAACTGATTCCGCGCTGCGTGCGAAGAGGAAAACGAAAAGGCGCGTTATCCCTCCATTGGGCGCCTCCCCTCTTCTGTTCACTCTCGCCTCATCTCCGTCTCCGTCGTCTTTCTGGACAGCTATTCCAGTGGACGCGTGGTTGAATCCAGCTGTTGTTCTCAGCCTTACCGCATATGTTGGGGGATCTGTCGAGGCCGACGAAGAGGTGGTGCGGCCGCGGCACCCGATACATCCTGCTGCCTACTGCTCGATGCCCGTAGGGTCCCGTGCTCCGATGACGCCCTCCAACGGCAAGGGTGGTTCATCCATGCCGCGGGGGGGGGGATGGGAGGCGGGGGGTGGGGACGTTTTTTCGTTCTCTAAGCAGCGAATCGAGGAATCAGCATGCGGAACGGACAGTCTCGGGCCCTTGGGCCCGTCTTGGGGTTTTCTTCGGCCGTGCTGGGGCTCTGTTGGGCCGTCTTGGGGCTCTCTTGGTCCGTCGGGGGCTGTCGTGAACCGTCATGGGCCGTCGAGAAGTTGTCGTATTGGGTGCCTCCGGGAGCCCTTCTGGGCAGTTCTCCCGCCGTTTGCCTCGAGGCCCTCTCGGGCCGTGTTGCGGCCGTCTTGGATGCCACGTGGGTCATCGTAGAGTGGACCATTTGGGGATCGTCGTGGAGGCTTCTTGAGCCATGTTGGGTGTGTTTTCCGCCGTCTTGGGTTTTTTGGTTTGTCTAGAACTTCTTGACCGTCATGTGGATGTCTGGTGGCCGTCTTGGGTCGTCGAGGGGCCTGCTAAGGGTGTGTGCGATCCCACTGGAGTCCCTTGGGCCGTCCTGTAGACGTATTGGAGTGAAGGTTTCGTGGGCCATCTTTAGCTGACGGCAGCTGGTAAAAGGCGGGAATGCCTGAGCGGGCCCTAAACAGTAAGTCTTTTCATTGTGAACGTGCAAGTTATGTGGTGTAAGCTATGTGGTGCAGGTTGTGTGATGTAAGCTACGTGGTGCAAGCTATGTGGTCTGAGCTATGTGCCGCCGGCGAAACGGCGGACCCCCCAAGTGGGCGGCAGCGAGGCGGCCACGGGCGGCGGTGCGGCGAAATCTCGGCGGACCCCCCAAAGGGCGGCCACCAGGCGGCCACGGGCGGCCACGCGGCGAAATCTGGGCGGGCTCGACCAGTGAGGGGGCGGCCACGGGCGGCGACGCGGGGAAGCCTCGGCGGGGACCCCCCAAGCGGGCAGCAGCGAGACGGCCACGAGGCGGCGACGTGGCGAGACCTCGCCGGACCCACCCAGCGCACGAGGCGGCCATGAGCGGCAACGTGGCGAAGCCTCGCCGGACCCACTCTGCGCACGAGGCGGCCACGGGCGACAACGAAGAGAATGATCGCCGGCCCCTATTCAACTCCTTAGTGACATAAGTGAGTGCCCCTCAGTGTAAACAGTCGTTGGGAACAATACCCAACGGATATCAATTGTGTTAGCTTCTTCGGACCTTGCTGGAGGTCCTCTGTTGGCTCGCTTGGAGGCGTCGTGGGCCGTCTTGAAGCCAGATTTGGCTGCCTTGGGGCCATTTTGGGCCGTCTTCGAGGCATCTTGGGGCATCGTGGTCTCCTTGGTTGTCTGCCTCGACCGCCTTTGAAGCTTGGGACGCGGATGCATTTGGTGTTTTGAAAAAGGGATCGTGGTATCGGGAAAGCGGATTCATCGTTTTTACGAGGGGTCATGGCCTCGGGAGTAGGAATGATGCACGTACCAGTCTGCGATTATAGGAAGGGGGCTGTTTGATTAGAGTGTAAGAGTGTGAGAACCCTCCCAGGCAGCACTTGGCATTCTACCACGTCTCAACGCGCCAGGGGGCACAGTGGCGGATTCTTGTCCGCCGAGTGCGCAAATTACGGCGCAACCACCAGTGGCAGGTTGGTTCATTCTCGGCCGCCGGGTGCGAAAAATTATGCCGCAATTCGGAAGCAGTCCTTTTCCTTCTCAGCCGCTGGGTGCGCAGCCCACATTTCATTCTCGGCCGCCGAGTGCGCAACCTCTGGCGAATCGATGGCAGGACATTTGATTCTCGGCCGCCGAGTTCGCCATCTACGGCGCAACCACCAACAGGCCATGCCGCTCGAGAGTCGAGGATGCAACCCACGGCGCAACCAATAGTAGGTAGGCCAGTTCATTATCGGCCGTTGAGAGCACAACCTTGGGAAAACCAAGATCGGGCAGAATGAAGTTCGGAAGCAGAGTGGACAATCTACGGCACACCCCGCTGCTAGTGCAACCCATGGATCGCGCAATTTATTGCGCAACCCATGGATGCCGAAACCCACGGATGGCGCAACCCATGGGGCAACGGCACAACACATGGATCACCCAACCCACGGCGCAACCCGTGAACGGCGCAACCCATGTATCGAGCAACCGATTGCGCAACCCACGGATGGCGCAGCCCATGGCGCAACGGCGCGATTCTCGGATCGCACAACCCATGGCACAATGTATGGCGCAACCCATCGAGCAACAGCGCAACCCACGAATGGCACAACCCATGGCACCATTTCAGGTGCAGCGTGTGGATGGTGCAACCCACGGGTCGCGCAACCAATGGATGGCGAAATGTGTGGCGCAATTTACGGATCGCGCAACCCATGGCACGCCACACTTTCGGCGCACACTCCTGGCAGTATCCCGATGTGTGTTCGCCGTTTAGCTTGGCGGTTAGGCCCAACCGGCGAGTCTTCTTGTGGCTTCTCCTCTTGAGGCCATCCTTGGGGCTCTCAGAGAGCCCTTTGGGTTCATTGGACACTGGACACCTCTGGGATCGTCTTGCAGCCAAATCGGGCCGTTTTCGGGCCACCTTGGCCAGTCTTGGAGGCATCTTGATCCATCCTGGGCCATCATGGCCATCGTGGGGCAAGTTCCCTTGATGCTGTGTGCGCTGTGATGGGCCCGGCCCGGCCAGCCGAGCCGAAGCGGGAGGGCCAGCAATTGTGCTCCAAAATCCGGCACGCCCAGCACCCGTCTGGCAGATTGCGGGGGCGGCAGATCGAAGACGCTTACAGTGAATCACCGCCGCCCCTGCTTTTCTAGAAGCATTTTTTATGGCATAAAGTTGGGCTACAGCTTGGCCAAGCTATCGGACCATGTGTTCTCCAAGCCGTCGTTGAAACCCTTCGGGGAAATCGCGAGGAGGAGAAGGAACAGGAGGAGTGGGAGAAAGAGGAGGAGTAGACCTCTCGGGAGCCTCTTGGAGGCCTCTTGGGGCTCTCCTTGGGCCTCTTGGGGGCCTTTGGGGGCTTGTCCGGGGCCTCTTTGGCCGTCTTAGGGCGTTCCTGGGTCTTGGGGGCCTATCTAGACCGTCTTGGGACTCTTGGGGCGCTTCAGGGCCGTCTTGGAGGCCATCTTAGGCGTCATGGAGGCCTCTTGGGCCGTCTTGGGCCCCCCTCTGGACCGTCTTGGGGGCCCTCTTGGGCTGTCCTGGGGCCATCTTGGAGGCCGCTTGGGCGCTCCATGGGCGATCTCGAAGGCTTGGGCCGTGTTGGGCCTACAGAAGGCCGAAAAGAAGCACATGCCAAAATCTGTCAACAAAAACTCAGGGAAAAAACAATGATTCGGGCCTCGTCAGGCTTTCCTGGAGAACCTGACTCTTGGGTCGTCCTGGACACTTCTCGGGTGCGTCTTGGGCCATGTTAGAGCCATCTTGGGCCGTCTTGGTGGCTTCTTGGGCGGACTTGGAGGCATCTTGGACCCTCTTGGGCCGTCTTGGAGAGACCATCCTGGGCGAACCTGGAGGCCATAACCGTTTTGGGGGATGTTTGTCCCGACGTCGAAGAAGCTACCAGTCCCTTCCCGGTGGCCGGCGGCGCGCTGGGCCGAAGCGCCAGAGAGAGAGCTCGTTCTGCAAGAACCAAGAACCATCTGAAAGTGAGCACGCTGGGCACCCGTGTGGCAAAGCCAGCAGGGGGCGGCGGAGCTAGTGTCAAATCGGGCACGCGTCTCCATGCAGGAGGAGTCGATCGTAGTCGAGAAAAAGAATAGGGTGACGATGGTCCGTGCTCTTTCGGCTATGTTTGATTCCGTGTTGACAATGTTCTATTTTGTTTCCCAAGATCCGCCTGTAGGAGGACATGCCCGACCTCAGTCCAGTGGCCGGCGGCCCATCCCGCAACCTGTGCTGGGGCCGTGGACGGAAGGCCCCTCTGCTGCTCAGGGGCCTCCTGGGGGCCTCCGGAGGCATCGCAGGGGTCTGCTGGCGGTCTCGGATGCCACCTGTGGGCGGAGGGCTCGAAAAGGTATTTCGAACTCGTGGCCCCCTCCCTGGGCAAGCCTTGGGAGCCGCGCGACTCTACAGACTCTCCTGCCCTTGAACCTCTACGGCTTCTGAATTCTTGGGCGCGCGGCTCTTTGGCTGCGACTTTGGGCTCTTTGGCGCGCTCTTTGGGCGGAGGGCTCCAAAAGTCGAAGAAGAAAAAACGCCATAAACATAAACTCTTGGCGCTCAGCGCGGATTTCTTGGATCCGCGCTGGGCCCACCCGGTGGCGCCTCCGGCGCCGCCCCTGGCGCGCGCAGATCCAAGAAATCCGCGCGGACCGTCGAAAGTTTGCGTGTATGCCGTTTTTTGCTGTTCTTAATAGGCAATTCGAGTTCTCGGCGCCCCCCTGGGCAAGTCTTGGAAGCCGCTCGTGCCACAGGGAGCCCGAGGACACTCCGCTCCGTGCCTAGCGGCACGGAGGCGGATTTGGTACCGCTGTGTTTGCCTTTGGTGCTGCGGTCACTGCTGGAGCGCGTGGAATGAACTACCTTGGTATGCTCATCGTTGGAGTTTTTACAGCCGTTGGTGGCGGCACTCTCCGGGACGCGCTGTTATTGCCTGGGGTGGTCGCATCTCGGGGTGCATTGGGATGCTTCTGGTTATGTGACACCACATATCTAACAATTGCTCTGTGGGCAAGCGCTGCCGCAGTCGTTTTATGGCCGCGCATCACGCGAAAAATGTTGCCAGAAGTTACCGCTGCCGGAAGTGTCGAGGCAGTTTTGCCAGGCTGGGCTTGGCTGGACCACCTGTCTTTGGGCACGTTTGCGGTGATGGGCGCACGTGCGGGCCTGCTGGCCAACACGGCCCTGCTGGGCGCAGTCCTCTGTGGAGGGATGACCGCGTGCGGCGGCGGGGTGGTCCGTGACGTGCTGACGGGGAGGCCGCCGCGCGTGCTCCACTCGAGCGCGGAGATGTACCTGACGCCGGCGTTCCTCGGTGCCGCGGCGTGCGCGGGGGTGACGATCGTAGCTGCGCGCCGCATACCCGCCGGGTGCCAGATGGGAGCCGTGCTGGAGCCCGTTGCCGCCGTTCTGGGTGTGCTCGTCACGGTGGTCGGCCGCGCGGCAGCAGTGCGCTGGGACTGGCGGGTGCCAACCATGGGTGGGTCAAGATGATGGCGTTTGCAGTGGGATTGGCGGTTGCTGGCGCTGCTGGGGTTGATTCGGGGATGAGCCAGACTGGATTGGGGACGGGAGCATGGGCATGAAATGATGCTCACAACCGCCACCGCACATAGCATAGTGGACATGATTCGGTGTAAACTCGCGAGGTTGAGACGCTCAGCCAAATGTGTACATCATGTTTCGGACTAAAGCCTGCATCCATGAGTGTACATAGGTGTGGTTCCCATTGGATTCCCATGGCCCCACCGCAGTCTCAAGCAGCTAGCTGCTGCACCGCTTGCTTCCGATTGTCGCGACAACATCTGCGGAGTCAGAATGATGAGTTTCTGAACGCCTGGGGTGTGCTTGTGGTGCCAAACCCGAAGACCGATGGCGAAGGCACGGCGGAAGGACCCACAAAATCATCTGACGAGCCTAAGGAGCTCTTGTTCCAAATCTCAGCTTAGTCGTCAACAGGAATCGTGCAGCTGAGCCATGGGTGAGGGGTGGGAAATGGTCGGGGATTCGGCTTGGTACCCAGCGTCGGGGACCAATCGGTGAGCATCGTATACGCAGCAGCTGTCGTCGAGCTCCTTTGGATAGTGTCCCAGGTTTGGGAGACGAGCAAATAACTGAGTCCGGGCTTTGACCCAGTTTTTCGTCCTTGGCTCATGCGTCAGGTAGGAGGCGTTGGAGGGGAGGGAGGCGGTGAGGGAGTGGCGGAGGAACGTGGAGTAGCACAGCCTCAAATCGGGAATCGGGTCGGGGGCGGACTTGTTGGGCAGGTGAGTTGGTCAGCAGCGACCTGGGAGGCCAGGAGAGGGTTGGGAAGGGCGAAGGTGGCGGTCGTCATCCTCTTCCGTTTCGAAGGTTGCGGCTTGTATCTTGAGTTCTTCGGCATTTTCTCGGGTGGAAGCGCCTGCGCCCCCCTCCCAGGGGCAGGAAGTGTCCGGTTCGGGCCGGTTCGGGTCGGTTTGGCGGCGGACCGGTTCGGTTGCAGCGGTTCGATTTCGGCGCGGGGTCCGGTTTTGGTCGGTCCGGTTTTGCCAGTCCGGGTCGGTTATGCCGGTTCGGTTCGGCGGTCGCGGGACGGTCCGGTTTTGGGGGGGCCGGTTTTCGGCCGGAGGGCACCGGGGGGGGGGTGCCGGCACCGGGGGGGGGGGGCCGGCACCGGGGGGGGGGGGGGGCGGCCACCGGGGGGGGGTGCCGGCCACGGGGGGGTCCGGCACCGGGGGGGGGGGTGCCGGCACCGGGGCGGTGTGTTCCGGCACCTGGGGGGGGGTGTGCCGCACCGGGGGGGTGGGGTGACCGGCACCGTGGGGGGGGTTGCGGCACGGGGGGGGGTGCCGGCACCGGGTGGGGGCCGCACCGGGGGGGGGGGGCCGGCACCGGGGGAGGGGTGCCGGCCCCGTGGGGGGGGGTGCCGGTACCGGGGGGGGGGGGGCCGGCAACCGGGGGGGGGGGTGGCCGGCACCGTGGAGGGGTGCCGCACCTGGTGGGGTGCGTGTGCCGGCACCGTTGGGGGGTCGGTGCCGGCCCCGAGGGGGTGGTTGCAGTCACCGGGGGGGGTGCCGCACCGGGGGGGGGTGCCAAAGTAGCCCCGGGAAGGGGGGGTGCCGGCGCGGGTGGGGGTTGGCAGTCACCAAGGGGGGGGGGGTGCCGTCACCGAGGGGGGGGGGGGGGGGGGGGGGGGTGCCGGCAACCGGGGGTGTGGGGTTGCCGTCGCCGGGGGGGGTGGCCGGCACCGTGGGGGGTGTGGTTGCCGCACGGGGGGGGGGGTGCCGGCACCGGGGGGGGGGTGCGGCACCGTGGGGGGGGTGCCGGCACCGGGGGGGGGTGCCGGCACCGGGGCTCTTCTGGGGGCTTTCTTGGGCCGGTGGGGAGTCCCGGGGCCCGGTTCGGTTCCACCCGGTTCGGGCTTGCCGTTCGGGCCGGTTTCGACCGGCCGGTTCGGTTCGAACCGCCCGGTCCGGTTTCAGTCGGGCCGGTTCGGGCTCCGGTTCGGGCGGTTCGGTTGCAGGAGCCGCCGGTTCACGGTTACCAGTTCGGTTCGGACTCTTCTTGCAGGGGAGGGCGTGCCTGGCGTCGCGTGGGGTTGGCATCCCGTTCATTGTGGTTGCTGGTGGGGGACTGGCCTCCACACGTCGCCGCCGCTGCCGCCGTCGTCGTCATCATCGTCGTCTGGCGGCATACACCGTCGTCTTCGTCATCCAGAGGAGCAAGACCGCCCTCGAGGGCGCGAAGTTGTTCGCGCTTCGCGGTTCTTGGTTTTCGACGTTGATTTTCTTCTTCGTCCTCCTTTTCTCCCCTGGGTGAGCGGCGCGAGAGCGCGAAGTTAGGCGCCCTTGGCGAGGGATGAGCCGAGGGGCTTGGTCTTCTTGAGGGCCGCGGCGAAGCCACCGCCGCGCCCGGCCGCAGCGAGGCTGTGCGCAAGCATGCGGGGCTCTGGCGGTGCCTGACGCCAGTGCAACTGGTCACTTGCAGAGACGGGTCTCTGAGGTTCACCGCCGCGCTGCGAGTCTCTTGCGAGACGCGATCTTGGAACCAGTCTGGGTGTCCAAACCGGGTTTCGTTCATGATCTGCAACGCATCGTCGATGCCTGGCGCCGCCGTGATCCACGAAGGCAAGGAGCCTCGGCGGAAGATGGGTTTGGGCAACCTTTTTCTCGCGCGCCCTGTGCAGCCTGGCCAAAAGTACGTGGAACATCGCGAAGGTGACGGTGCTGGGTCGCCACGTCCAGAACTTCCCCCGCCGCGCTCGGAATCTGGCGTTCTGCGGCCCGGACCGGGGCTTTGCAAGTGCTCTAGACCACCCACGCCCTTAAGGGCTGGTGGGATTGCCACTACTATTGCTACTACTAACTACTACTACTACTACTACTACTACTACTACTACTACTACTACTACTACTACTACTACTACTACTACTACTACTACTACTACTACTATTCTACTACTACTACTACTACTACTACTACTACTACTACTACTACTACTACTACTACTACT